ACCTCTTCCTTTCTTTTCCCTACTAGATCCACACAGGTTTACAACACCAAATAATCTGGCCGTGCCAGCCCAGCTGTCTACCACTAGATGAGAAACTCCTACCAGAGCTACTTAAAGATGCAGGATATGTTACTCACATGGTGGGGAAGTGGCATTTAGGGATGTACAGGAAAGAATGCCTTCCAACACGCAGAGGATTTGATACTTACTTTGGTAATAGTTAAATTTAACACGAGCAATAAATGTAGTGTTAAAAATTATGAGAAAACTGCTTGATTCTTCCAAGAAGAGCAGATATACTGTGAGTGCATAAGTAATACTTGAGCATGCATATTTCCAGTGCATAACTGTTAAAAATAAGTTAGGGCCTTAAATGCATGCCCAAGCCTTATGATCTATTGAAGAAAACACTGTAATTATTGAGTGCCTCCAAAGAAAGTATTTCTCTTTAAAGATCTGTGTTTAATTTCATTCTATGATGCTTAGAAGATTTAAGTTGTAGTGACTAGTTTAATTTTAAAAGTGTCTCTAAACTGTACTTTTTAGATCAGACAGTAGACCTCACATGCTCTGCAAATAATATTAAACTGCTAAAAAGCTGATATATTTAAATGAGAGAGAAATAAAGTCTCTTCATGCTTTGTGAATAGACCATCACTGGTTTTCCACTTCCTCTGGCAAGGAAGGTGATATGAGAACCTTTATAAAAACAGCATACAAAATGTGGATGTTACAGGAGCTCACAAGCTGTGACACTCAGGTATTACATAAGCTAATCAATTACTCTGATTAAAAAAAAAAAAAAAAAAAAAGGATAATGCCAGAATTAGATTGTGTGTGTGTATTACAAAGCAACTTGTAATTACTTATTACATATTTTTCCTCTCACAAAAGCTCCTGTCTGAGTATTTATTGGATGTTTAATAGTTTTGTGCAGGTATCCCACGTGAATGTGAATATTTGCCTATAATAATATTTATTTCCACATTGTAATATTTATTTCAATATAATTACTTTATACTATAATATCATAATTTTTCCCCATTATGCGAATCAGGTTATCAGTAATACACCTCATACCACCCGATACTGAATACAAAGTTGTTAACTTCCACTTGGTTGGTTTTAAAAAACTTTAATCAAATGTAGGATTTCAAAACAGATCATCCTCAAAATAACTCCATAAGCTGTTGACAATAATGCTGCCCAATTCTACAATAGGGAAACTTAGATACAGAAACTTTAGCTTTGCTTATTTAAGCCCACACTCCTCTTATGTAATGTTTGGTACCTAAAAACCTATTTGTGCTATGTTCCTGTATAGATACTGGCAATTCAAATTCTAGGTGGAAAGAACTGTTCCCTTAGATTGTCTCTCTTGACTCTTCAGAGAGCTTGGGATATGGTTTCACAGCTGAATTAAGATAGTAAATATGGATCGTAACATGATGGACCACTATTTGAATCTATATGCCTCTTCTCCTGTTGGTTGTCTGCTCTCATCCCTTCACAGGAGCTTATCTTATTCTTGATGGCATAGATGTAGGCTTATGCTCCTAGGAATGAGCAGGCTTTTAATACCAGGACTAAGGCTGGCTCTAGGCATAGTCATTGGGTGCCCAGCATGACACCAAGGGAATTATTTTTCAGCGTATGTGGTGGTTTAATATCCTATTCTGTTCATATAGTTCCAGTACGAGTTGATTGCAGTTAGGGACACTCATTTGATTCTTTAGCAAGCTTTTTATTTATTTATTTATTTTTAGTAGTGATACTTGAAGTTGTTGTATAGAAGTTCAAGTAAAGAAGTAAAGTTCCTCAATTTTTAATTGTTGGTCTCAGTTTTAATTTGATTTTGCAGAACTTCACTTTTTTTTTTCCAGATTTTTTTTTTTCCTCAGGGTACTAGAAGATAAATCTGAAATTTAATTTTAGGCATAGTAATTATTGAGATTGGAATGATTTCGAAGAGTTTTGTTTCTGGTCAATAAAAAACAATGGCACTCAATGCTTAACAGGGTAGCCCTTGATAGGAGAAAATTTATACGTCTAGAATTTATACATAGTCTTTTTGGTATCTCTAAATAGTAGTATCTTCTTTTCACCAGTTGGGGTCAGCAGAGGATCAGAAATTACTTTACAGTTAAAAAAAAACAAAACATTTCATACTTGGATGCATTTTAATATATGTTAAAAAACAAACAGACACACACACAAGCAATTCCTAACAAAATAAATTCCAAGCATTCTAATAGAGAGAAAAGTCTTATGTGGAAAAAGCAAGTATACCAAATCAAACCAGATAAATATTATAGTAGTACAGGAATAGGTCATTCCTTTGCTATCAGTGTATAAGTTTAATACTAAGGTCTTTGATATAAAGTTATCTCTATATAGTGTCATTACACTGCTTTCAAACTGTTTTGTGTGCTTTGAAATTACTATTTTGAAACTACTATTTGTAGTAGTGATAAAAAGTCTGTGTGTTAAATGTTGAGATACTTAGTCCTATCAAGTGATGTCATTGCTGATTATCAAATGTTGGATGTGTGTCTCAGTTCAAAATGTCCCCCACCCCCCCCACCCCCCCCCAAAAAATGCATCTGTTTCTACGATGTTGTGTTGACCTGTTTACTTGTCATTTTTTCCTGTTCTAGGCTATCTTCTGGGGAGTGAGGATTATTATTCTCATGATCACTGCGTACTCATCAAAGCAAAGAATGTAACACGCTGTGCTCTGGACTTCCGAGATGGAGAAGAAGTTGCAACTGGATTTAAAAACATGTATTCCACTAATTTATTTACAGAAAGAGCTATAGATATCATAGCCAATCATAAAACTGAGAAGGTAGAGTCAGCGGTTCTTACTTTATTTGAGAATTTTAACACTGAAGAATGTTTATAAAAATGTTAATGAAGTATTAATGCGGAGACCTACATTTGGGCTGTAAATGTGGCCTTTTCAACAGGGTACACAGAGCTAAATGTGAAAAGTGGCACCAATAAAACTTGCCTTGTCTCCCTTTCGGGATGAGTTTTGGCTGCATAACTCTGGCCTCCTACCCTTCTCCATTTGATTTTTGACAATAGAAGTAATGAATTTATAGAAATGATTTAGCATGTAACTAAAAGGGTACTGAAAAGCTTAGCAGGAGAATTTTCATTAAAAAAAAAAAAAAAAAACACACAAAAACAAAAACAGACAAAAAAGGAAAAAAAAAACACTTTAGCTGTATTATGAAGAAAAGATACACTTGTTGTTCTCCCACAGTTTTGCCTAAGTCGTTTATCAAAGTCTTATTAGTTTGTGCTTAGGGATTAGAAGAGGCAGTCATAGAACTGTAGAATGTCCTGAGTTGGAAGGGACCCACTAGGGTCATTGGGTCTAACTCCTGACTCCACACTTAACTAACCAAAAATCAGACCCCTCTCTTTGAGAGCTTTGTCCAAATGCTTCCTTGATCTCCAGAAGGCTCGGTGCTATGACCACTGCCCTGGGGAGCCCGTCCCAGTGCCCCACCACCCTCTGGGTGCAGACCCTTTCCCTAACCCCCAGCCTGACCCTCCCCTGTCCCAGCTCCATGCTGTTCCCTTGGATCCTGTCACTGTCCCCAGAGAGCAGAGCTCAGCGCCTGCCCCTCCGCTCCCCTCCTGAGGGAGCTGCAGGCCGCCATGAGGCCTCCCCTCAGCCTGCTCTGCTTGGGGCTGAGCACACCAAGGACCTCATCCACTCCTTACACATCTTTCCCTCTAGGCACTTCACCACCTTTGTAGCCCTCCTTTGGACACTCTCTAATAGTTTTGTGTCCTTTTCATACTGTGGTGCCCAAAACTGCACATAACACTTGTGTTGAGACTTCACCAGCATGGAGCAGAGCACGACAATCCCTTCCATTGACTAGCTAGCAATGCCACCCCATGGTGTGGCATGGTACTGATGTACCCAAAGGTAGGGTTGCCCCTTCTGGCTGCCAGGGCACACTGCTGGTTTGTGTTCAGCTTGCTGTTGGCCAAAACCCCTGGATCCCTTTCTGCGGGGCTGGTCACCAGCCTCTTATCCCCCAGTTTGTATAAATAGCCAGGGTTGGCCCTTCCTAAGTGCAGCATGCAGCACTTGCTTCATGTGGCTGGGGATTGCCCAGCCCTCTAATTTGTTAAGATTTCTGTTCTAGACCTTTCCACCCTCACTGGAGTCAAAAGTTCTCCTTAACCTATCTGCAAACTTAGTGTGCATTTTAGTCCTGCATTCAGGTCATTTATGAAAACACTGAAGAGAAAATGTAAAAATTTTTAAAATGTAACGCTGGCTCTAAAATGTAACGCTGAGGAACCATACTAGTGACTGGTCACCAGCCTGATATAGCCCCATTTACTACAACATTTTGAGCCTGATTCATCAGCTAATTGCTCTCTGTTGTATTATATTCTTGTCTAGTTGTATGCTGAATATTTTGTCCAGAAGGATACTGAGAGAAACTGTTGAAAGCTTTGCTGAAGTCCAGAAAGAACATGTCTATCAGTTTCCATTGTTCAGCTAGATAGGTAAACTTTTCATAAAAGGAAATTAAGTTAGTTAAACAGGACATTCCCCTTTTAAACCTATTTTGGCTATGACCAATGGCAGCATTTTTTTTCCAAGTGTTTTCCAACAACTCCCAGAATAATCTTGTCCATAATTTTACCAGATACTAAAGTGGGAAGTTGAATACATTTCTGTCGGTGTTAATTATCAGGACTGCTTTTCATACAGCAACTTTTTTGTTTAGTACTTTACATTCAACTAACTTATTTTCTGTCCTTTCCACCCCAGCCCCTCTTTCTCTACCTTGCTTTTCAGTCTGTTCACGAACCTCTTGAGGTCCCTGAAGAATACATGAAACCCTACTCCTCCATTAAAGATGAGAAGAGGCGCCATTATGCGGGAATGGTGACTCTTATGGATGAAGCTGTAGGAAATCTTACTGATGCTCTGAAAAGATATGGTCTTTGGGATAATACTGTTCTTGTTTTCTCTACTGGTAAGTTAGTTTGAATATTCTTTTAGTAGTGTCTTTGATACAGTGTCTAACAAGCTGAATGCAGACACATCTGGCCCCTCTGTCTTTCCTCAATATATTTTGTAACTACGGAAGGGCTGTCTTATGTATGACTGAAACAAATCTGAAGAAGTATCAGAGGAAACGGAGGATACTCCTATCAGAGTAGGAACAGTGTTGTGAAAGCAGAGGAGTGAAGTGAAGTTAGAGGCATCTTAATAGGTGTGAAGTCACTGTATATCTATCCGAATTGAATCCTTATCGAGAGGATGTTGTATGTCATATTCATATGTCCTGATCAATATAGGTAGCTGTCTGCTCAGTCTACAAATTGCCACCTATTGCAGGAAGCTCAAACTGCCAGACAGCAAGTACTTTGAAGACAAAACTCTTTCTTTGTCCTACTTTTATGTAACGTGTAATTTTTGCAGTTTCTTCCTTGAAATATTTCACTGGCACATTACTCCCATGAAGCAGAGGTCTGTTAATAAAAAAAAAAAAAAACAAAAAAAAAACCTTAATATGTGATGATACAATCTAGGTTGCCAAATTACAGGCTAAAATTGTGTATGTATTAGCATATGATCTAGTTTCTAGAGTATTAGGAGAATATAAATAATGGATTATAAAACTTTTTTCTTTGTTTCCAAACTTGGAATGAAGTGGAACCTTTTCAAAATACAGATGCTTGGCAAGGTTTCAGGAAAATAGATAATATTGTTTGGTTGGCAGTGAGAAGTCACCTTTCAGTGCTTAAAATTGCTTGTTTGTCCAGGCTTTACACATCAAGGCTGTTAAAATGGCAAATTCATTTTCTTTGAACACTATGTAGAAAAACAAAGCAAGCAAGCAACCGAAAACCACTTCCCCCAAAAGAGATCCAAATGCAGAAACCCAAACTCAAGTTTTGATTAAAATGAAGTGACATATTTTATCAGCTGTTTTGTATAGCACTTGAAATCTTGAAACAACATTCTAAGTCCAAGCCTGTTTGCCTTGTAGTGGTTCATTTGTGTCCAGGTTTTGTCTCTGATAGGATTCAATCACTTTTTTGTGCCTATTTTTGTTTACAATGTTTTCATATTTAGAACCAAAATTAAACAGCAAAGCCATATGGAAAATGATAGCAATGCTTATTCCACGTGGAAAAAATCCACTCTTTGTTCCTGGGGTCCTAACAGAGCGTTTTCAGAAATGTTTTTCAGTACGTTATGGAATAAAACTAAAGACATCTGAGCTGGAAGTTCAGAGAATAACTGAATTAGAGAGATATATTTATTTATATTTTATAAAACACTTTCTTCCAAATAGAGTATGCCCTGCTTTTAACAGTAGTTATCACATAATCAATTACAGGTACATTTCAATAGGAGTCAGACAGTGAGGAGAATCCAGTATCTGTCCTGTCTAATGGGACTTGTCTTGACTTAATTGATGTTTTAAACTGCCAGGAATGGAATTTAATATGATTGAAATGTAAGGAAATTGTGCCTAGATCAAGGAGATCACAGGCAGTGATTCATTTTTTCCATTGTTCTTTCCTCAGTTCACACAAGTGTTCTTTATAGGCATAAAACATTGCATGCATTAAAGATCAAGCTTCCAAAACAACAAATGTTGAAACCATTAAGTATTGGGAAAAAAAAGGTGTGAAATCTATTCAGCTTTTCTATATTCTATCTATCACTTTTGCAGATGGTGTGTTTTAAAACGGGCATCAGAAAGTGGTTGAAAAGAAACTTGAGAGGGTCTGCAGTTGGGTGTCTTGTGCAGAGAATTATACTATGTGAGATCTCTCTGCAAGTTATTCGCACAGCTTGCAAGTTCTTTATAACCAGGAGTGTTAGTGTGCATTGGTACTTATGGTATGGTGTTACTTAAAATAATGATTTTGGGAGTTGGGTCTGCAGTCTGGCTTAAGATAGTTTTTTGTAGTAAAACCAATGCTCCTGTGTGTTCTAACTGTAGGACATGCCCCTAACTCTTTTTTCATACACTTTTTTTTTTTCTGGTATACTTCTTAAAAATATTTTTTCAGCTCTACAGGGCCTGCCCAATGCTCTTCTGGAACATGTAGACCCTCCTCTTGCTCAATATGACAAAAGATACACATTTTCCTATATGATTAGGAATTCTCTTCAAAATATTTCTTCCTCTTTTGCAGAGCTAAGAATCAATAGGGTCATTTTAAGGGTTCGAATGAAGACTACAAGGGAGAACTTAGAGAAGGATAAATAGTATCCATAATTTTATTGAACGGTGGCTGCATGTCTCTTCAGCATAATAGTTAAAGACACAGGACTATCAAAGCACCCACTGTTTTATTAAGTGGTTTGATAAGCATTGTGTTGGAGAACTGTAGAGGAAAAAGAAGTGAAGAACGTATTTTTGCTGTACATTTTATTAGGTTTGTTACTTTTCCCCTCTAGTTGTGGCCAATATTCACATTTGGATGTTTGCATCTTACTACTTCAAAATTCACAGAAAAAATATAGAAATTACAGTAATTGTTTGCTATTGTTTGCTGTGCCACATAGCATTGCAACAAACATAGTCTTCCCGTTGATTCCTTCACTGTTAAGTATCAAACCCAAAATGAAAGATATCTATTTAGTGGGTGCCAGTATGACACTATCTGGTTCTGGACTAGAACTTGACATACTCTTTGCTCTCACAATAGATTTCTTTTTGTTAAACTCTTGAGTGTTTCTTCCTATTAGTATATGTAATTGCTAAACCAAGATTCACTTGAAAATATGCCAGTTGGCAAATGGAACTATTGCACATTTTAAAAGGGCTTTGTAAATTGTGTAGATCTCCAGTTCCACTTTAAGGAAGTAAAAAGCTTGACAGAAATACTGGGCCAAGAATTAAGTATTCTGGTCATTAATGAAGTCTCACCATGCCTCAGTAGTATACCGCGTAAATCAACATCTCAGGTGTCTTTTTGAACAGATTCATAAGCTATTTCTGCAGGTAAATAAGAGGGTGGGAGGAGGATAGTATGATAGTATGTGGTGTTATATTTATGTATCAAGTAGTGGATAGAAACAACTTCTAGACTGGTGCAATACAAAATAGAATTTGCTTTTATAGAGCAGATTTTACCCTGTAGATACAAGTACTTCTACACTAATGGAATCAGTGGTGAAAATATAGTTGTGGTCTAAGCAAAACAAGTAAAAATGAATGTTGCAGTGCCTTGGGTATCCATGGTGTTTTATTAATTTGAAATAAATAAATTTTTAAAAAATAACAAGAGATAGGGTTTGTTTTTCTTTTTGGAAACGTAAACGAACATACCTAGAACTTTCCTGAAGAGGACCTTAATTTAAAATAACCGAAGGTCATAAGAAGCATACAAATTTAACTTAGCACTATTAAAACTGGCTTGTAGTCCAAGTTTTGCTTCAAATGTAAACCTGTATTTGAGGTAAGAAGTTGGGATTTGCTGTGTATAGCACGTGTTTATAGTTTTTGCAATATATGGCAAGTGATTTGAGTAGAAACTCGCCAGCATTAGAACATAGGAATCTTACTTCTGATTTGAGTTCTATGTTAGAGCTAATATCCCTTGTCTTATTTAACTTTCAGCTTTTAAATATTCTAAAAAAATTTGAAGCAAACTCCCTTACCACTGTTTCTTCCAATATGTCCAACAATTCTTAAAGGGGAATCAACACTGCAGTGTCTGGTAGTTGCCATGAGAGGGCTTTGAACAGTAAAATATGTAGATTTTTTTCTCTTCAAACCTAGGTTTACATTACTAAGAGGAAACTACATAAATCCTTTCCATAATGGAGCATGTGACAGTGATGGCTGTTTTCATTCCAAAAGGTGGTCTTTTTATCGTTTTAGAATTGTGATTAATAGAAGCACAAATTGTCTTGGACATGCTTACTGATGTTTGTACAGCCTCTCTCATATACTCCTTTATTTTTTCCCTAAAACTTTATATTATCTTTCCCTAATAAATAATTCTTCTTAGTCGATTTTATTTTATTTTGAGCATTTTGTGCTCTTTGCCTGATAAAATTATGTGTTTTTTTGCTTGTGTCTAGCTTCTGCCTTGGTAGAAATTGGGGATCTGACTTCCACTGGACTTTTCTTGAGGGCTATTTTTATCCACATCTTTGTTCCTAAGTGAAATTCTGCTCATTCTCTTTAGTAGGTGAGGGACTTGCGAGAGACTTTTAATTCTGGATTATCCAAAACAACTAAATGACAGATTGGTTAGAAGAGTTATTATCTGATTGTGTTGTTAGAGGTGCTAACTTTGAAGGTTGTGTATCAGACAGAATTTTTAGTAAGTCTGCTCAATTATAGATCTGAAGAACTGCTTTAATCTCTCCTGTCAGGAAATTCTGAAAGGTTCAGTGTACTGCCAGCAAGGGAAGTACCAGAATATCTTTTTTCCTAAAGATGAAGTAAGCACGTATCTCTTGGTTGCAATTAACTTTAATGAAACAATTTATTAGAGTTTGTGTACTAGCAAATATTATTTTTATATCTTCAGTATTTAAGCTTGTTATTATGCAGATAAGAGGTACATCTTATCACTGTACTTGCACTGATCACAGGTATTGCATGCCAGTGATAAATAATGAAAGGTGCATGTGTTTGGTGTTTCATATTCTAGTACTGGCTTTTGTTCTTTTTATTTAAACTTTTTCCACATTAGATTATGGGAGGTAAGAATAAATGTTTTTGGAAATAATAGAGTTTCTTCTATCTAGTGTTGTGTGTTACACAGCCAGTCTAGATTGACGCCCTAAGATGCAGTTAATAGTAATGACTCATTGAGATGTTTTTTTCAAGAATGTTATCAAAAGCAGAAATGTTGTCATATGACGGAAATCAATTTCAAAATGAAAAATGAGAAGGTGTTGATAGTCAAGAAATATAATGATTTTGTTTTCCTATTCTGAAGCCATGTGAAAACCTAAAATGTTTTGTAGAAAATGTTTATTTACTTTTGCTTTCTTATAGTATTGAATTCCCCTACCCCTCCCTTTTTTTTTCCTTGCAAAACCTATCATTCCAAAATTGAGTTCCTGAACAGAGAATGGCCTTGTCCCAGAGATACTCACTTCTTATTATGTTTTGTGTTTTAAATTCCACAATAAGTGCAAAAATTGAATTTTTCTTCCTGTTTTGAGCAAATGTCAGTACTTAAAATGAAGTTAATTGGTAAATAAACTTCAGAAATTAATTTTGCTGGTGTCACAAGCTGGCCATTTTTGATTAAAACTTAGGCATGCTAACAGTTATTCTAGCTTTTTTTTTTTCTCTTGGTCTGAGAGGTAGTAATGAATGCTGAAAACAGCTTACTTTACATGTTAATGACATGTAATAATTTCACATAACTGTTGAAAGGTTGTGTTGAACTGTGTTTACTATTAAACTATACTAATTTGTTCTGTATGATAGTGTAAAAGAAGCCTTTATACTATGTATAATAATCTTCTATATACAATTCAATGGTCTGGTTCAGTGCTTTGTCATTCACTGAGAAGAGTCCAAAGTTTTTTTAATTATGGCTCATTTCACTTGGTTTCTACAGACATATGAAAAGTTTGTCAGATTATTCATGGTAGTTTCACGTTAAAATTTGCCTTTGCATTTCAATTGTATTTAGTGATGGTGAATGCTGATGTAGACCTGACAGCAGGGTCTGTAACTCTGAGGCCTGTTTAATTGCCGAGGCTGCTTAAAGTAAAGGTGGTTGCCTAAAGCTGTCTGCAGTAGGATCCTATTGCTGTACTGGGAAAGAGATGGGATAAAAAAGGAAAAAGAATAGAATGAAAAAGGATATTGTGCATGCAGCTGTTACAGGACTAAGTTTGTATCTACATGTGTTAGAATCTTCTATAAATCAAATTCATTTTTTCCACAATATCTTTTTTTTTTTTTTTTTTTTTTTTTTTTTTTTTTTTCTGCATTAGAACAGTCAGGAGAGTAAACAGACAATTCTGGTAAGTTAAAAAAAATAATAATAATGTTGATTTATCTGAACACAGCTCTGCAAATTCACGGTGCTCTGATGCATCAGAGATATTATGTTCCCTTTATGGAAAATAAAAGCCCTATGGGTGTATTTAAAGCAGGACAAAAATTACATGAGCAGAATTTTATAGGAGAAGGTGTGGTTTTCTGTTCCTACTGTGCTTCCAACAGAAAGACTTTCAGTAGTTCTTCCATCTCATACATACACACAAAAGTCTGTATTAAGTGCTGAAAACAGAATAATGCATCATCTGTCTGAAGACACTTTTTAGAGTGGCTTTTCTCCTGCATATATTGACCCTTCCAGGTTACTCTTTCTGCATCATAATGAAGTATACAACAGATGTTTTTTCATCAGCTGATCTTAACTAAATGATTGCGGTTTGTTTCATTGAAAATGTATGTTTCATACTAGCCATCAGAATTAGTGTGCTTACATTTTTATCACACTTGCAGCACAATTGGAAAATGTAGCAACAAATGGATCTTTCAAATCCATTATGGGGAAGCAGGGAAGAACATGAGTTCAAATTAAGGACAAAGTTATTCTCTAATTCCTGCTGTGAGTAGCTTATCCGCAGTGTAGATCTCTGCTGTGTATGCTGTACTTTTTTTTTTTTAAACAAAACCTCAATGGGAGTTCCGTACTTGGAACATATACAGAATAAGCATTATTCATGCTGTGAAGATCAGAGGGGAGAAATTTTCCCCAAATGTGATCCTTTTCTGCCATTATTGACAGTACTCTCTGTTTAACTCTGAGTCACAATCATGAGCTTAAATCACACAAAGGAAAGGCTCTGAAGTCCTGGTTTGTGACCTACACTTTCAGCAAGAATGTTGAAGGTCAAAAATGAGATGCATTTACAGAGCTTTGTGTGAAGCTGTCTTGTACTTACTCATATTGTGTCTGGCACTAGTAAATGCTATTTAATTCCCATTTGTATATACTGAATTCGCCAACAAAATTTTTAAGTTTGTTGTTGTTGTTGTTTTTTCCTTAAAAAGTAAAACCAAACATCTAACTGCCTGCTTATATCACTGATACTAGTGACTGATGGTAGTGTTACATCCAAGCCATGTACAAGAATTCTGCATGCACGGCTTTGCTCATCAGGGCAAAGGCAAGAAAACTATGGGGATATGTGTTTTTATCCCATCCCATTCTCTGTTTGTCCCTATGTCTACCTTTTGTTTACCTTGCCTAAGGTTGTCTGCCTGTTTTGTTATTCCAGTTACTTATTTTTAGGTGAAAAATTCAGAAATCAGCTTTGTAGAAATATTGTAGGTCTCATGAGTCACATGAGTCATTGTTTTCAACAACATTGAGACACTAGCATGGTCAAACTGGCTTCTTAAACTTTTAAGTTATGTATGAAATAGTTTCACAGTTAACTTTTAATAGACTTTCCAGTTCTGATTCAGTGTGGATGGACTGTTACACTGGCCTCCATATGGTTCTGATTAGGTATAAGATTATGATTGCTCATATAGCCCCAGTCCTTCAAAGGAACACGATAAATAACATTTAACAGTTGTTTACAGAATTAAACCATGGATGAATTGGGTATTCTGTCTTCTGCTTGTTACAGGAGTTGTTACTCCTGTTAAAATCTAGTTGTTGTGGATTAAAAGAACCTATATGGTCACTGGTACTCAAAGTTGAATTACATTTGATTTTTTTTAGTGCAATTAATATAAAAAAATCAAAGCCTCAGTATTGCAAAGCAAATAAAGAATTACACGAAGGAGGAGAAGAAAAGCAACATCTTCCATAATCTAGTTTTGTGGATCATATTATTCTGGATGGTTGATAAGCTGTCCCTGGTTCATTTTCCTGTATAGTAAACGTTCTGTTAAAAGAATTGTGTTGACTGGCTGGTGATGGCAAAGTGAAGGGATCACATTAGATGCTATGAGATGCAGGGTTAGAAGAGAACTCTGTTTCTGTTTTTGTTGTTTACAGTTCATTGTAAAATCTCGTAATGCAGTAGCACAACAAGAGAAGAAAAAAAACACCTTCAAAATATGCAAGTTTGTGTTTCTTTTTAAGCTTTCATCATTCAGAGCTCGATTGTTGCACAGTGGAAATATATCAGAAACTTTAGAGGGAAGGAATTTACTCCTTCCTTAGTTTACTAGGACTTGGTGGGTACAGCTATCCCTGATTTCCCTGCTTGACCTAGAGGTGAGCAAGTGGTGAATTGTCTTTTACTTTCTATGGGAACTATATCCTAGTACATCACCACAGATGATGGAAAAAGATTAGAAAAACTCTGGGTAAATTAGTTTTCTCTTTTTTTTCTGACAATTCTTCCTTGCACAACCTTATATATTTCTTCCTTGTCCTGTAAGTTATTTTAGATGATGACCATGAATTTACTAATACATTGGGTACCCTTATATAATCAAGTACTATTAAATTTACTAAATATTACAATATAACTAGATGTATGCCATTTTTCTGATCAACTGGTCTCAAAACCAAGATTAGCCAAAGAGATAGTCTTTTGTACATTGCTCTTACTCTTTTTAGAGCTTACAATTGTTATATAACCAACTTTTCAATTTTGAATATACAGGAAAAAGAGGAATAGTGTTTCATATCACTAGTAATCACTCACCATAGTGGATCTATACTAAATCTGTCACTTAAAGCACTTCTTTTTTTTTTTTTTTTTTTTTTTTTTTTTTAATCTGCTGTTATTGTGTTTTCTTATATAGCTTGATTTGATACTGCAGATCATATGAAAACAGTGGTGGAAATAACTCTTTGAAGGAATATTGAAATACAAAATTATAAATCATGGTTTAATAGAACAAATGCAAAGTTTGAAATTTTGTATACATAGATGTTCAGATTTCCTCTGAAACTGATTAATGTTCTATGAAACAGCACAAAGCCATCTCACAGAAAACTATCATGTATGTTTAGAAATACTGCTTATCCAAGAGACTTACTCTGTCAGTCATGGACACCCCTTGCTTTATGAATCAATATAGAAATGTAAGGAAAACCCATAACTAATTTAGGAAGGAAGCATACATGTACAATACTGTCTGGTTTGGATTAAGCATTTGGAAGAAGCTGCAGATGTTGTAAGATGGCCCAAGTCAAGTGTTACCTGAAAAAGATCATTTGAATCCCTGCTGAGTTCAGAATCTGTTTTCTTCCTTTGCATTTTTTTTTCCATACATCTGTGTTCACATGGAGTATGGCTTGGTTAGTTCATCTGTTTTGTGTACTTCTGAATATTCCAGAATTAAAGTGTGCTCCAAATAATGTGTGAGTAAAGGCTAAACTCTACAGAAGAAACTAGAACTTCCATATAAAGCTCAGCACAACTATCTTTTGTATTCTTCTCTTTCACTTTCCAACATTCCATGTTATTCCTGTGCATACAACATAATAAATTTGCAGAAGGTTTCACTCTAGCATGTGTTAAGGCATTAAGATTTTCCCTCACTCCTTTAATTCATGGGTGAGTATAAACAGCAGAATTTACTTAGAGCCTCAGAATACAGATGTGCCGAATGCCTAGTAATTTGTGCATTTTACAGATTTAAAGTGTAAAAAAAAAAACTATCATGCATAAACAGAAGTTTTTCTAAATTACAGTATCTTATTAAAATAACTGTATCAGTTAAGAATTGGTTGACTTTAAAAATGGAAGGAAAGTTTAATATCCATAGTTTTTTGCTCCTTCCTGTAGATTTTCTTGATCATCCATTTCTCTAAGAAATGCTTAAAAGGGATTTAGGCATTTCATGCCATGAAATACAAATCTCTTTCTCTGGGGACTATGAAAAGACTCCCCCCTTTGGTGAGAGAAAGAATTTGCACTTTTCTTTGAAGCATGTGTAGCCACTAGGATTTCTTTTCTGGACTAAGTGGTTTCATCTGTGTGGCATTTCAGACTGGTTATTGAGTAGGATAGAAGAGAAAGATTAATTCCAGTCACTGGCGATCAATATATAACATGCAAAATACAGGAAAACATTACCTTTGTCCTGCTGAAATATCTGTGCTGTCTCCTGAAAGAGATAAATAATTATATTTATGTAGTGGGATAGGATAAGAATTTTTAAAGTGTGAAAATCTCAGCTTTCTTCTGTGTTTTTGATTGCCTAGAAGGAATACATTTTTGATAATTCAGGACTGTGACTTTCCATGGTTGCATGCATAAGAATCATCACGTAGGTAAAATGCAGAGTAGGCTGTGGAAGAAAAGATGAGATAGTATTTTAAAGTCCTCTGATTTGAAACTGATTAAAGAAATCAGATTGGTAAATATCAAGAAATAAAAATGTGCAGAGGGAAAGATGAGCTTTAATTTTATGAGATGAAAAAGAGATCATGGGTGTATTTATGAAAATGTGATTAGGTGAATACACCTTGAGAACAAGAAAAAAAAGAACAGAACGCTAGGATATATATAGTAAGAGTACCTGAGAGATGATCTTAAAAAAAAAAAAAAAAAAAGTGGGAAACACTCATTCTCTCATTCTCTCCCTCACCTCTTCATAATGTTGAGGGAAACAAGCTTTAGAACATACCTGGATACTCAAGCAGAAATAGCATGAATTAAAGGTGTCACCCGTGGTCAATCTAGATTTTTGGCAGTATTTTGCCACATTAAATTGCAGCAGTGAATAGTAGGTGCAGAGGGGATATTGTGACATAGATAAGGAAGTTATCTTGGACCATAGTCTGACACAAGAAAACAAGATATCTAGGACTGAGCAGTGATGTAGAGATGAGGGTCAAAAATAGAGCCTTCCTAGCTGTTGGATGGAAGGTAAGACTGAAGTGAGACAAGTGTCTGATGTTACCCAGAAAAAAAAAAAAAAAAAGATGATTATATATACGGTGCATGTAAAAACATACACCAAGGGAACCTTTGAGTATCAATTGTAATGGAAAATGGTAAGGAAAAGTAGAGGAAGAAACAGCAGCAGTGTCTAGGGGAGGGCACAGTGTGTCTAGCATCTACTGGCAATATATAGTATTTAGACAGATAAAAACAGATTATCACAACAAAATGTTCTGTGGACAGGAAGAAACAGCCACACTTACTATACCTGAACTTTGAGCAATGCTACCATTGTTGCAGGAAGCACAGCCGAAAGCACAACAGACACCAGTAGAGTCAGATCATGCTCCCTTTTATTGCCTGAATAGCCTAACTTTTATAGTGAACTTAACAGGGGCAGACAGTGTTTCACACAAGATTATTGGTCAAAGGCACTCAGACAAACAACTACAAGAAAACAACCCCACCTGCAAGAAAACAACCCCCTTGTGATTAGCAGTCACATAGACCTTGTCCTCGAAGCCAGCTACTGGTAACAATATTTTTCTGAATTCCTCAATTGGGCGATGTGGGAACACTGTCATGGGAACTTCTCATAGTTGCCCTGGTAGCTTGGTTTGCTCAGCTACAGCAAGCCATGGAATTTTTGCTGTTTCAAAAAATCCCTCAACACTACCATGTAGAACATTGCCTGTGCCTGTTCTTGGCTTTGACTTCTAATTGCATTTGCTTGTGTTAAAGTATAGCCAGAGCTTTGTGTACATTGAAGTGAATTAACCCTGAATTTCTATTAAGATTACAGTGTTGCTTGAACTTGGTTGGGTAGAAACAGCGGCAGTAATTTCACTTGTATTTTAAAATAAACGGCTTTAACAAACTACATGTAAAAAGAAACAATTCAGCAACTGTAGTATGTGCTTTTCCTTATTAACTTCTTGAGGTCTATGTAATTAGGCAATGCAAAAGATTACTGATCAATGCAGAGAACTGCATGTATTGGAGCAGTGCACTGCATTTGATACCTTGCAAGAAGATATTTTAACAAATTAAAAGTGAAATAGTTGAAATATATTGACATCTCATATACAAAATTTGATGACAGTTTTAATAATTGTCTTCTTCAGTCTGCCTTTCTGTTTGCAATGCAACATTGTAACACGTTTTGAAATCAAGTAAACATTTATTATACGAGGATCTTAAGAATGGCATCCTGTGCATGCTTTTTTGTAAAGTCCAGATTTTTACAATAGTATTCTTCTATTATTGCTCTCTTGGAGGAAAATACAAGAAAGTGATTTCCTTTTTTTTTTTTTTTTTTTTTTTTTTTTGTTTAAGAAAGCCATGGCTGTAAATGATACAAAATTGTATCTTTCTACTTGAATGTATTGGCAAGTGATGCTCCATAAATATGGCATCAAGCTTTATACCAGTGCATTTGATTGACTGAAAAAGCAAAGCCTTTTGCCCACAGGTCTCTTTTTCTGCCTATAGGTGTTTTTCTGCACACTGTGCTTTCACAGTTGATTGCCCCTGAAGTTTTTCAGCTGCATTCATGTGGCTACAATGCATATGGCTTCTTGTGATTCTTTCCAAGGTACCTTGCGGTAATTTGAACAATTTTAGTAGTTACAGTGGTCTTGGTTTGTTAATCCACATAATGTTGATGGAACTAAAGAGTAAGCACACGTGCAATTGTCCTAGCCTTTGCTGTTGACCTTTTGTATGATCTGAGGGTTTTTAATTATCTTAACACTTTAGTTTAGTCAGAGCCAAAAGAGTGCATCTTACTGCAGTGTAACAGCAATGAGGAAGCCATTGGACCTGAAGACCTTGATTAATTTAATGGGTCACCTACTCCATTATGCTGAGAAAGACTTGAAGTTGGATTTTTGAAGAATTAGTAACTCCTTTGTCAAATTGGGACTAAGGGTAAGATGGGAGTTCTCAAGTCACATGGATGGACTGGGTAGTGGTTACCTGGGAGAGCAGAAGTCCTTATGAGGAAGATAAAACTACAACTCTAAGTAGGGTACTCAGGGGAGCTCATTACACAGGATGCCATCATCCCTGCTCATCTCACCCTTATTTATGGTAAATCTGCTCATTTGATGAAATGGTAGATTTTTGCTAATGCAGCTTTGGATTGAGCAGATGGATGACAGAACCTGTGAGTAGTTTGGAGTAAATACGAAAGAAATGATGAATTCTGAGTGTTGGTGGGATTAGGGATGATAAGCAAATGCAGATAGACTCCTTTTGCAAGCATAGACTGAACCATAAAGTGGATATGCTTTATCGCTTTAATCTCGCAACAGTAGATAAGGAATTTGCAGAGAAAAGAATGAGAGGATTTTTCTGAAAATGAAAGGAATAGCTAACTTCTGAAGTATGCGTGTACTGGGAAACACTGGGACACCCAAGGCCGAAGCTCTGTATATAGTGAAATAATGTCTTTGAGCAGAAGAATCTGTCAGTGCATTATGGATTTGTCTATTTATTTCCCACTATCAGGAATGGAATAGCAAACCTGTTATCCTGCAAAGGATAGAATTTCAAGGACAAAATTTCCAAGGAAAGATCATTACTGACATGTAGACATGAAAACATCAAAAACAAAGTGCCTACCAAGAGCAAGATATACAATTTGACTATTTATTCGAAGCCTACTGTTTTTCTGCTTTAGATATGAACAGCTCCCTCTTGAAACTGCTGAGCATTCTGTATGTGTATCTGAGGACTGAAAGTGGTCTGTAATGCCAGAGAATTGTAAAAGGAGAGATTCCACAACTTCAGGATTCAGGAAATATGATTAAAAGTGGCAGAAAGTTCAAGGATGATAATGCTGGAGAAAGGTTGGATCATGCCAAGAGGAAATTGCTGGTTATCTTACTGAACCTACCATCGTGTCTCGCAATCATATTTCAGTGATTCAGACAATGGGATCAATTAGAAAAAGGCATGTCTTAGCACGCAACTGGAAAAAAAAATCATAAATTCTGATTACAATAACTTCTATGAAACCAAAAAATTCGAATTTAAGGGCTTTTTCTTTTCACTCAGTTAAATGTCACTTTGATGTGACAAAATTAAGAAGGGGAAGAAGAATATTACATGTACTACTGAAAAACAAAACAACAACAAAAAAAAAACAAACACAACAAACCGCGCACTAGGTTTTACTGTTTATTTGGAGAAAATATATTCAGTTTTAGCCAGCTTAACATCTTGTTTTTTAGATTTGGCAGTATGCTACTCAGCCATTATTACTGTCATGCAGCGGAGATAAAGAAATTAATACCAAGTAAAACTTACTTTGAAGTTCATTCAGCAAGAGCGTTGTCTGCCATTTCCCCATCCTAAAAATATCCATTGCAGAAAAACTCAGATTTTTGAAAGCTGATTAATAATGTTGCTTAGATCATTGAAGGGAAAGATATTCATTTATTTATTTACGTAAACTTAATTTTTTCTTCATTATCTGTCTTCCTTATTTGTTAAAGTAGCATGGTGACGAAGCCCTTTCCTCCTGTTAGCTGGATTGCACTTAACAAAAGGCAAGGTAGCTTTTGGAACACTGGTGAATGGGCACTAGACATTGCCTTAGACATTGCTGAACGTACCTATATAAGACCGACGCATAAGCCACCTTGTCAGTGGGTACTGAATATCTTACGGGTTTCATTTCATTTCATTGTCATCTCTAGGAGAATGGAAGTGTACAGAAGACAAAATGGTTACAAAAGATCACAAAGTAATTAACTTTTTTTTTTTTCCTTGAAGTTTAAGACCAGTGTTATAAATTCTCAACTTTATAATTTTGTTCTGTTATTTGGTTGGGAGAATTGTCAGATGGAATTTCAATTTTTGTGTTTTATGTGCTTGGTTTGAGCCTAGGGGCAAATACACTTGTGAAGGTACTTGCTGCTCTTTTTTCATATGTCCAGTGTGGCAGGTAATAACAAAAGAGTTCTGTTTCATTTTTATGTTCGTATGACAACAGATGTGTGTTTCTTTTTGCTTGTGAACTGTGCCAGGATTTCCTGGGTATAGCTACAGCCCCAAGTGATTAAGAACTCAAGTCACTCCTCTCAAGAAAAAGTGATGTGAAAAACAGATGCAAATGTGTCCAATTGCATGAATCAAGTCATAGCTTGCAATGTGTAAAAGCAGTGCATGTGTCTACACTTAATATTAAAAAGGAAGAGAAAAAAAAGACATCTGGTTCATAGCAGATGAAATATAAAAAACATAGACACATAGGCAGTGTTGTGCTATTGCTAGACAAGCGAGGAACAACTGAAATGCTCGTGACACTGAATTGTGGCCCTGACACTCCTGTTGTCATGGGTGAACTTCTTAATTCCCTGTTTTGGTTGTGGCTGTTTCTGGGCTGGCTGGGGAGTTTCGACACTGACCAGTTAACATTGGCTGCAGGAATTGTTATTGGAATGGCTGACAGCTGTCTGCCAGCCTGTCTGCACAGCCTTCCTGTGCTCACTGCTGCTCGGCTGCACACTGCTATTGTTCATCTGGAGCCTTTCTCTTAAAATCTTTCCCAGCTGTATCCTGATACGCTAAACCACTTAAATTAGCTCCAGATTGCTCTGTTTATTTTGTGTGAGATAAGTGACAAAGTGCAATCCTAGCAGTCCTCCTCAAGTAAACACAGAGGAAAAGGGGGGTACAGGATATTATGATGGAAGAAGCAGATTCTAGATATAAGCATAAGGCTTTAATGTATGTAGATTAGTTCATTTGTCTCTGCTGTTTGCATGTAATTGTAAGCTTTGACAGCTCCATATCCCTGGAAGTGATTTTTTCTTTTTCCTTTTTAAAGAAAGAAAAAAAAAAAGGTGTTATGTCAAGGTAGTATTCCTGTCTGCCCTCATCCATTCCCCCATTCCCCTCTCTCTTTTCCCACCCTGCCACACCAAAAAAAAAAAAAAAAAAAAAAAAAAAAAAAAAGAAGTGAAACGATCCTCTAAGGTTAGTAGCACTCTTCCCTTAAGTCCATGCACATCTTAAAGCTCTTGCTGCATCTGAAGTCAGGGAAATCTGTTGTACATGACTGATCAGCCATAGATGCAAAAACAGTTTAATGCCATCTCCTGTCCCCACACGTTAGAGTTTGCTCATTTTCTCTTACCTTACAGCTGCAACTTGAAGCACAAAACCATCAGGCCTCAGGTCAGGCATTTTCCATACATCTGGAAGTATAGATGCATTAGTTTTGGCTGTTTGGAGCTGTCTGTAAGTACAGTAACAGTTGCTGGACTTCCTGCTTTTTTCCTCCAAAAGCTGCTATAAATGTGTTCTAATTAGATCCGTTACGTTGTTTGGATAACAGCACTAGACTTATTGTAAGAGTTCACACTGCTTCCAGAAGCAGAGGAAAAAAACACAAATATATTCAAAATAAACTTCCGAATGGTTTTACTGAATAAAAACACCTAGATGTTGCCAGCTATTGGACAGTTTCTGGCACCTACAAGTCTTAATGCTTGGAATTTTGTACTTCCTAGCATACTCCCAGTCATTTATCAGTCCTCTCTAGTCCTCCTTTTATGGAGGCATTTCTGTCTACCATATGAACATCTCTATCCTACTTGGTAGGAAGAGAGGTGGGTGTTTCATTGAAAATGAAACGTGAATTTAAACATTTTTCTAAGTTAAATTACCCCCTTACTTTAAATGAAAAGAGAGAGCATATGAGAGTGTCTCCATTGTTCCTTTTAGTAAAGAGAAACAACTTTATTTCTTCTCTTGTCTTCACAAAGCAATTAGTTAATCAAAAGCAAGAAACTGGAGTAAGTACTATAAATTAATATTGACCATATTTCCCCTTCAAACATTCTGTGCACATATTTCATGCTAGATTATGTGCAGGTGATGGCTTTAGTGTGTCAGCAGACTTTAGTTGCAGGAGTAGCAGACACTTAAAAGATTCCCTTTTCTCTTTATTTTGAAGATGTTTTAATTTGATAATGTATTGAACTGTCCAAGGCTGCATTATAAAATTAAACAGAGTTGTGTTCTTTTTTTTTTTTTTTTCCTGGTCTTTACTCACTTTTAAAATATTGCATGGCTTTAGACAAGCCTTTCAAACAGAGCTTGGCATGGTTTATGTATTAGACAGATGTGTGCTAGATCAGCTTACTGCAGGGGCCCATGAGGAGAAATTTCAGGGTATGGGAGTTTTCTCTTACAGCTTCAGAAAATTCAGTGGTTGAAAAATGTTGGAGGTTAAGCACAGGTGAAAAACAGAAAAAAAATCTGCAGCATGTGAATGCTGTTTTTGAAAAGTACTGTATGTACAGCAAGAGCGTTTTACTAGTATTTTGTTTTCAGGAAAGAAGGCATCTAGATGTCTGTTACTGACAGCCAGAAAAGTTAGGCTAGATCTCCTCTTTATAGACTCTAATTGCAACAGTACTTGATAAATGATTAGAGGTGAATACATTTGTGGTATCTAATTACATATACAATATCCTTGGTGCTTAGATTTTTTCTTACTTTGCCCTTAATGTAGATACATTACTTAAAATGCTTTCTTTGTGCTGGGATTTGGATAGGATAATAAAGTGGTTACATAGTCAAAAGACTTTCTTGGCACACATCACTTGACTTTTTTTATTATTTTTTTTATTGACTCCTTATCAAATACTTTGTTAAAATGTTCATTGGTTATTTTTTGTGTAAGCACATATGCATATAGGTCTGCTAAACTTCTGGATATGTAAATGCATTTTTTCTAATTGGATATGTACTTAACAACATTCTGATCATAAAATATTTTGCATGTTCATATTTTGAGTTATCAAACAGTTTTATTCTTTTGTTGCTTATTGCTAAAATTTATTTTTGCAGAACTTGTTGTACTGAGACATACAGTACTAAACAGTCCAGAGAAGCTTGTCGTAGTGCAATGTTGTACTGAAAGTTTTTGTGTGATTATGTTTTTGTTGTTCTTGTTTGTTTGTTTTCTGTTAAGACTGTTACATTTCTTAAAGGAAATAACTTATTATATGCTGTATTTTGCAGAATTATTGTTGTGAATATTTTCCATATTGTTGGATTGCTTTTTGTTCTATAAATGCCAAAAACAATTGTTAAGCTAATGATAATTAGAATTGCTAGGGTACATATCTAAGAATGCCATTCTGCCTTTGTAACCGAGGTTGTATAATAAGTATCACAAATTTAAACTCTCTGGTAATATCATTTTATGAGAATGGAAGGTTTAGAACAAATAGAAGTCAAAGACAATTTCTGTAAAGCCTGAATATTTTTATAAGGCTCTTAGCTAAAAACAATATGTACACAAAATGTAGTCAGGAAGGGTGGGTGGATTTTGGTGTGCTGCTGTTGTTGTTGATTTGGTTGGTTTGTTGGGTGGTTGGTTGGTTTTGTTTTTTTGTTTGTTTTTATTTTTGGTAAGGAGGGTGATGAGTAGTGCCTTGCTTTGAGTAAGAAAGCACAGTTGAAAAGAAATACTGGAATTGAAACTGCTCAATAACAGCACCTAATACAACCCTGTATGAGTCTATGGAGAATTTTCAGGAACACTTCTTCAGGGAGCTTGTCTAGAACAATTTGCCATGCACATGAACAGAACTGCAAGGTTTAGCTCAACTGTGGTCATAACAAGAATGCAACAACATGAAGAATCACAAATGAGAAAAAAAAAGGGTGCTCAATTAAAAAAAAAAAATAAATAAAAAAGTTACTTTGCTGTAGAATCATAGAATTATTCAGGTTGGAAAAGAGCTCTAAGATCATTTAGTCCAATCTTTATCATAGTACTGACAAGTCCACCCCTAAACCATGCTACTAAGTTCTAAATCTACAGGTTTCTTGAAGACCTCCAGGGATGGTAACTCAGACACTCCCCTGAGCAGCCTGTTCCAATGCCACACAACACTTTCAGTAAAATAAAATATTTTTTTATTTCAGTAAAGAAGATATTTTTCCTAATATCCAACCTAAACCTCCCCTGGCACAAATTGAGGCCATTTCCCCTTGTCTTATCACTTGGTGGTTGGGAGAACAGACCAATCCCAACCTTGCTACACCCTCCTCTAAGGTACTTGTAGAACACAACAAGGTCTCCCCTGAGCCTCCCTTTCTCCATGTTAAACAACCCCCACTCCCTCAGCTGCTTCTCGTAAGGCTTGTTCTCTAAACCCTTCACCAGCTTTGTTGCCCTTCTCTGGACACTCTCCAGCACCTCTTATACTGAGGGGCCCAAAACTGAACACAGTACTTGAGGTACAGCCTCACCAGAACTGGGTAAAAAGGGACGATCACCTCACTAGTCCTCCTGGACACATTATTTCTGATACAAGCCAGGATGTTCTTGCT